TCCGATTCGTATTGAGCTTTGTTTTGCTTTGAACGCGCAAAATCTTCGATTGTGAAGAGTACCTGAAGTAATTGCTGTAAAATTAAAAAAATGGGCTTAGCAGCTTGCGATATAAACATACTAAAGGCTGTCGCAAGATGTTACTGCAGGGTGTAGATACTGACTTTAACATTGTGAAATTTATTAATATTTGTAACTTATCAATTTTCTTTCATATAACCTCACTAGGTCACATTAGGCATAAGCATTCTGCTGTCGCTGGTTGTGTTCCTGCTGCTCGTATCAAAGATTCTTCCGCCAACCTCGTTGGTGCTGCCACTGATTGCCAAGTACTTGCTATTCACTTTTATTATGAATACGGTCTCAATTCTGGTGACAGTGATCATCATTAACTGGAACTTTCGCGGTCCACGCACACATCGCATGCCCATGTGGATACGGACTGTTTTTCTACACTATCTTCCTGCCTTTTTGTTAATGAAACGTCCGCGCAAAACAAGATTGCGTTGGATGATGGAAATGCCTGGAATGAGTATGCCAGCTCATCCACATCCATCTTATGGGTCACCAGCTGAATTACCAAAGCACATCAGGTATGAAATGCTCATTAGCCTTCACCGCCACACCAATATTTACCTACATAAAGCTTCACTATTTACATTTGTAAATATTTTATTTTGATCTGATAAGTATATATTTAGCCCTAACTAGCTACTGCTGGTATCTATAAAACTTAGGACTCTAAAATCCCGAGCTAATTGTGTTTGTTTTTACCGTTTTTGTTGCAGTAACTACGGGCGCTTAGAAGTGTATAAAGCAAATACTCGAAAATTAATCCTTTTTAATGCGAAATTGTTGTACTTTAATAAGAAAACGACAGTTAATGAAAACAAAAAAAAAATAATAATCTGCTAAAAGTCCCTTTATTATACTACTCAGTTTAACTATTCAAGAAAGAGTTCCCATTTTAATAATATAAATAAAGGTTCTTATAAGGTTTTTGTGAGCTCCCATTAACTTAGCTGTACATAGATTATTACAAATAATTCTGTCTTTTCTTATTCTTTTATATAACATTGTAACATTGTAAACATTTATTGATTTTCCATCCGCCTTTCGCGATATTCCGCAATTTCAAGTACACCACCACTCAAAGTTCTTAAACTCTTTATAAAAATAGTAAGGACGTCTGATTTATTAATAACATTATAAATATTTACTTAAATTTTTCGAAATAAAATCCGCTAATACCGCATACAATAGAACCAGTTGTTCCATTTACCCCATTTTTAAGGTAAATAATAAAGCCCACAATACGAATAATTTTATTTCCAAGATTTTTATATTATTACATTTATTTTCACAATAAATAATTTAAACAACTTAAATTACTAAGCACGAGGTTTTCCAGGATTTTATTATGTAACGTTTTCTGATTTGAAAAATCAAAAGAAATCAACAAAAAATACCTTAATTTAGTCAGAAAGGCCTTTGCGTGATTTGATTTTTTGAAATCAACAAAAAACTCCTTAGTTTAGTCAGAAAGGCCTTTGCTTTAACACATACCGAATTAAAAGCAAAAATTGACACAAAAAATAAAAAAAATTAAGAAATATACATGCTTACTGGAAAGTAAATTTATAAGTTATTTGTGTATTTAGGTTAAAAATTAAATTTGGTCGCAATTTTCTCCCAAATATTGCGTTTCGGGCATTACTTTCGGAGTAGCGATGGGTCATGGGGGGTTGAAATTCGGTTTTCTCCTTATTTCGATTATTGTACAACCATTCGATTATTCGATTCGAAATTTGGAGTTGCAAATTCGATTTGATTCGAATTTCTAAAATTTCAAAGTTTGTTTCTAAGAATGATAACTAAAATAAAAAAAGAGTTTTGGAGTTCCGAAATGCTCGCTCGCTGACTGAGCAGTTTATGTACGTATACTTA